TCTCTGCACTTCAAAGCGGATCTTTTTTTAATCAACTGGCCGAGTTTGTGTCTCCCTAATTATAAAGACTTTTGGGACAATTTCAGTTTTTTTTTTTTTTTTTGATATTTTATGTGCAAACTGAAACTACAAAAAGATCAGGTTTTATCAAACTTTACCCACTATGTCAGACTAATTGTCAAAAAAAAAACTTTGGCCTGTTATTATTGGAACTTGGCATTTAATATTAAATTGAATTAACGGGGGCATATATTTCTAGAGCGAATTAAATCAGTCATGTGACTAGGATGTGCTGGAGTCCAGGGACGTTTAATCAGATTAATTATCACCAACCAAACACCACAACTAATTGTGATTGGTCTTTTTGCAAATATCGCCAATCCTATTTTGGGTGGAGTTTAAACAATTTGGTTGGATGAATACTGGCAGCTGGGGGGGACAGTGGGTGGGGGGTGAGCTCGGTCGAGACAGCCAGATAGTACCTATACAAAGAGCCAGTTTTAAATATTATTATTAATCATCACATGAAATAAGAAGTTTGTAGCCACACCAAATTAGAAGTCAATGAATTATAAATGTTCGCAATATTTTTAATATTACGTTATGTTTTAACTTCCCACAACTAGACAAGTCAGTGCAACCAAACATGGTTTCCCTAAACTCCGCCCACACAGCCACAAGCCCCTCTTTCACTCTTTTTCTGAGGAGTGTCTCAGATCAACTCGTTTTGAGGCTGTCTCTTTACATCCAAACAATGCGCTTCACCCCCCACCCTGCACTTCCAGAGCGGTCAGTTCCAGTTTGATACACAGATTTACGTCCATTTAGCTGCACAGAAACTTATTTATAATTTAACTAAGAGATGTCAAAAACAAAAAACTTGTCCATCCAGCCTTACATGTTAGGTCCACAGTCTGACTCAGAACCAAAGGAGAATGAAGTACAAATTGTAGTTGGCAAATTCAGACCTTTTTAAAAGCTCCGTCACAAATAATTTGACATAATAG